GGGGCCAGCTGAGGAGGCCGGGTGCATGGGAGTGGAATGTTGTCTTGCAGGTGACAGGGAGACAGGAGGGTGCCAGACAGGGAGTGGGTGGGAGTGGAGCTGAGCGCAGACGGGGCTGGAGCCGCAGCCACAGAACAAACGTCGGAGCTGGGCTGGGGCTGTGGGGACCCGGAGGAAGCCCTTAAGCCTATGCCTCATCTGTCAATCTCACAAGCCCACCTCACCTGTAGCCTGCCATCCCCACCATTGTGCTTTGCCCCAGCCCCCAAGTCAGGGCCACTGTTCTCTCTGGCCTGGAAGACTGCAGCAACTTCTTCACCTGGCTCCTACCCCATCCGTTCCCTATAAAGACACAGCCAGAGGGTTTTCAAAATGTTGCCATTTTGAAAACGCACCTTTCTGGCCAAGACCCTTCAGTGGCACCCACTGCCTTCAGCATCAAGGTCATAATTTCATGTCCTGGCAGTCAAGGCGCTTTCCAGCTGAGCTGGGCCATTTGCAACCCCAGTTACCCTGTCTGTGGCCTTTGTCCCAAGCCACCCCTGTCCACCACAGCCACGCTTCCACTGTGAGAAGTAGGGAGTGCCATTGCACTGGGGCGCCTTTCCCAATCCTGCTCTTGGTGGGTCTTCAGCTCCTTTTGACAACCATTGGGCACCTGCTTTGTGGCAGGTGCTGGGGATTATCAGATGTCCTGGGCTGGTGACAGCACTCGGTCAAGGGCAGGCAGAGCCCTGAAGTCAGGAGAGCTCCAGGCTCCTTAGCCAGGTGCCACCCCCACCCTTCCACCCACTCCCTGCACCTGCCCTCTCCCGTTCCTCACACCTGCACCTGTATATATTCAAACCTGTCCTGGGGATTGGCCCAGTGCCAGGCCAGGCTGCAGCCAGCAACAGTCTAGACGGTGGCCAATGCCCTACAGCTCTCCTAACAAGTCCCCTTAACACAGCCTCTGATGGGCCGAAAGGGACTGAGAACTAGGTGGTCTTCAAAAAATTATTCTTGAAACATACTACTCGTGCAGGACACCAGGCTCCACATAGAGTGCTGGATACAAACACCAATCCTCAAGGAAACCACAGATTGGCAGGGAGAGAAACAGGTATGGCAGCAACCAGTTTACAGGGACACCTTGGGTGCCAAGCTCTGTGCTAGAGGCTATACCCATGTTGTTGATTGCATCTTACCCTCACAACACCCCAGAGGCGTACACATTGTTAGCATCCCCAGCTTACGGAGGAAAAAGCTCAGTGAGTAGGTCATGCAGGGGGGATCCACTCCCTGGCACCAACAGCTGCTAGCCGTCGGGAGTGAACAGCACTGGGACAGGGCACCCTCTGGTAGCAGAAACCAGCCCCGGCTGGAGGAGGCAGAGGCAGCTACACCAAAAAGAGGAACAATGGCCTTGGGACCTGCAAAAGGCAGACAGGGCGCAAGGACGAGCCCAGTGCGAGGGGGCGGGTTAGCCAGCCCTCAGAAGGTGGGGAGACTGAGCCCCGATAGCTTCTGGAACTCCCTAGGAGGAACCTAGAGAATGTTAACTCATGGGGTGGAAAGGCAGCCTGAGAAAACGCTAATGCGAAGGGGAAGGAAAAGCTGCTGGTGTGTACTCTGGAAAGGAATCTGGCTCAGGGATGGTGGCAACCCAGGGGGAAAGCCCAGCTCTGTCCACAAGAGGGCTCCTGGCAGCAGGCAACGAAGTCAACTGAGGAGTGGGGACGGTTGGTCGCCGGTTCCTCCAAGCCTCTTTGGGAGGAAGGCTAAGAAGAGGACATGCCTAATCGTGACCCTGACCCTGAAATACCAGCAGTCAGAAAGAAGCAGAGATGGGCAAGAGACATGATTGCTTCCCAAGATCCTACCCCCACCTCAGGACAGTCCCCTTTCTGCTGAGAAACACCAGTCAGCAGGCTCCTGGATGCTGCCCTTGGTAACACATGAGAAGGCTTTCCCCTCCTAACCTTCCAGAGGGACAGATCTTTCATAGTTCCCAATTCTTTGTCTTTTTTTTTTTTTTTTTTGAGACGGTGTCGCCCAGGCTGGAGTGCAGTGGTGCTATCTCGGCTCACTGCAAGCTCCGCCTCCCGGGTTCACACCATTCTCCTGCCTCAGCCTCCCGAGTAGCTGGGACCACAGGCGCCCACCACCACGCCTGGCTAATTTTTTGTATTTTTAGTAAAGATGGGGTTTCACCGTGTTAGCCAGGATGGTCTTGATCTCCTGACCTCGTGATCCGCCCGCCTCGGCCTCCCAAAGTGCTGGGATTACAGGTATGAGCCACCGCGCCCGGCCTGCCTCTTTCTGACAAAGGTAACGCACCACTAATTTTCTTTTTCAGGTTGGTGTAATCTATTGTTGAATAATGCATTATTTCAATGATTGTCATTTCCAGAATTCTATTTTCAAATCTGCCTAGTCATTTTCAGACTCTTTTTGCTCTTTTTCAGTGCCATCTTTAGAGGTTTCATATTTTGTTTTCTGTTTCTGGTGCCCCTTTTTTTTTTTTTTTTTTTTGAGTCTTTCTGTCGCCCAGGCTGGAGTGCAGTGGCGCGATCTTGGCTCACTGCAACCTCCGCCTCCCAGGTTCAAGGATTCTCCTGCCTCAGCCTCCTGAGTAGCTGGGATTACAGGCATGTGCCACCATGCTTGGCTAATTTTTGTATTTTTAGTAGAGATGTGTTTCACCATGTTGGTCAGGCTGGTTTCAAACTCCTGACCTTGTGATCTGCCTGCCTCAGCCTCCCAAAGTGCTGAGATTACAGGCGTGAGCTGCTATGCCCAGCCTGTATCTGGTGATTGTAATATCTGAAGTCCCAGGCGTCTAAATCAATTATTGTTCCTGATGACTTTGCTAACGATGGCTCATTTCCTTGAAGGTTCAGTGTCGTTTCCGGACAGCGTATAATTGGTTGACACACAATATTGATCCTGAAGGTCCTTAATTATCTTAATTTCTTAGCACCAGGATTCCCTGACCTTCCTTAAGTATAAATCTGACATGCGCAGCTAAGTTTTTTTGTTGAGACGGGGGTCTCACTATGTTGCCCAGGTTGGTCTCAAACTCCTGGGCTCAAGTGATCTCAGCCTCCCAAAGTTCTGGGATTATAGGTGTGAGCCACCATGCCCGTCCCAGTTCTTTTTTCCTTTTTCTCAAGCAGGGACAGAGCTGTTTCCAATTCAGTTTCCACTGCAGGTGGGCAGATCTTCCCTGCCGCCTTTTCACGGTGCCAAAGGTACTGAGCTATCTGCCTTTGGGGAAAGGCCCCAGTTTTGTTTCTGCACTTTGTATATGCTCAAAACCAAGTCTCACGTTGTGCCTAGAGGAAGTCTCCCTCCAACTCTTGAGTTCTTGGAATGTCCTATCTGTGACCTCAGCAATGCAGTTAAAAGTACATTCATTATAATTTATCTGGCATCTGGGTGTTTTGCAGTCACGAAAAGATTTTCAGCCTGCCATTTCTATGGCACATACCCTTTCCACCAACATAGTGCTCTTGTGCAGGGCTGACAGTCCCATGGCTGAGATCTTGTCATTGTTCTAGGTGGGCAGATTGCAGTGCAGCCCAGAAAGGTTTGCAGTTGGCACCACCTGCATTAAAGATCATACAGCCAAGCCCTAGGCCACAGGCCAGCCCTTTTCCCTGTTTCCAGACCTAGTAACCAGTCCGTCTCCCCTTGCATTCTAGGGGACTGTGAAGCTGGTGGTGGCAACGAGCCTCTTGGGCAAGGCTGTTCAGGAGAGGCGGGTCTCAGGGAGAGAGCACAGATAGGTATTCAAGTGACAGAACTGAGGCCTCAGCTCACCGGCTGGTAAACCAGACTGGCAGCCTGAAATTCCACACAAAGGTGTGCCTGCACCAGCCTTTGGGCCACAGAAAGTACCACCCAGGGGCTGCTGGAGGCAATGCAAGCTGTTGGGCTTTTAGGGAGAGTAGTTTGTACAGATTTCAAGGATCCAAGAAATGTTCAGTATCAAAAATTCCACTTTGGAAAATTATCCTAAGGAAATAAATAATGCAAAGGACGCATAGATGTATGCTGCACCAGAAAACGCGAAAGCAATCCAACTGCCCAACAGGAGGTGAAGAGTTAAAAAAATTATGGCCTCAATTAAATGATGCAACCATTAAGCAAATAAATTGGAAGGCAACAGTAAAATTACCTGTGATTTAACATCAGTGTCATAAGGACATAAGTGAATATTGACAAGTCTAGGTCTGTTGACATTTGTGTTAAAATTTTACAAGAAAATACGTTAAGTCACTAGAAAATATATCCACAAGTCCACCACCCTGTTCATGCAGGACAGATGGTCAGACTCTCCGTGGTTCATTTTTCCTTATTACAAGATAACTTAGCCGGGTGCAGTGGCTCATGCCTGTAATCCCAGGACTTTGACGGGGGTGAGGCAGGCAGATCGCTTGAGCCCAGGAGTTTGAGACCAGCCTGGGCAACATGGTGAAACCCTGTCTCTACAGAAAATACAAAAAATCAGCCAGGCGTGGTGGCCCATGCCTGTAGTTCCAGTTACTTAGGAGGCTGAGGTGGGAGGACTGCCTGAGTCCGGGAGGTGGAGGCTGCATTGATCTATAATTGCGCCACTGCACTCCGGCCTGGGCAACAGAGACCCTGCCCGCCTCCACCCCCAAAAACAAAACAAAAAAACCACTTAAGAGAGAAGTAATGGGGAGTGTCTGGAAGCTGTTGTTGGCCCCTGACCGCAAGGCCAACTGGTGGGCTCCAGCAGCCAGCCTGGTTGGGTCTGGTCCCCACAGGGCACTGACCAGTTGGTGCAGCTGGTTTTCCAGAGAGGCCAGCTCCAGGCACATGGGGTGCAGGCACCCCCTGCTTCATGCCCTTGGGCACTCTTCAGGCCATGACTAGAACCAGTTGGGGCCCCTCTCTCCCCCTTCCTCAAGGATTTGGGAATAAGGATGAGGGGACACCTTGTAGTGTAGGGACCACCTTTCCTCCTGGTCCCATTCCAGCTTGAGGCAGAAAAGGAATATAGCCTTTTTATTGACTACTTTAAGTAGAACAAACTAAATACATATTTAACAGTTTTGGTTCATTTATACAGTACATTAAATAAGTTATGCACAGAGTTAGGTAACAAAAGTTCCTATCAGAGTAAAATGACAAAGCACAGGAAAACCAGACTCTAACGCATTCTGTGGGTGGTTTCACATTCATCATCCCCCTTAAAAATCACGCGTGGAGGCTTCGTTCTTAATTTATTTACACTATTGGCTTTCTTTTATGAGTGGAGCCTTTGTAGCCTCATCAGGAACTTGGAAAGCCACGTAAGGGGACTGAAGGCCTCTCAGCCCAGCAGTCCTTTCAATCATTCGCCTAATGCTTATTGCTGCTTCTCTGCAATTCTCCAAGGTAGGGATGGGGCTGTCCCCAACAGACACCAGCACACATGCCCTATTTGGTATAAGCATCACTGAGTGTACACTGGGCAGCCGTAGGCTCGACCAGATGGGGTCTGTGAGGGAAGCTCCACCTCGGGGGCTATGGAGGGGGAGGAGGGGACGCAACGCCTGCCCCTCAGGCCTCCTAACCTTCTCCTGGCTCACGATGGAAAAGGTCACCTGCACCATCATCTTTGGAAATGAGCACGTCGATGCCCGAGGAAAGAGGCAGGTAGTCAACGTTTTGGTTTCACAAGAACTACAGACACTCCAGAGTTGGAAGGGCCCTGCGGAGCTGCTGGCACAGCCCCCACTGCAGTCTGGGCAGGGCTGCTCTCGACAGTTGGCCATGTGGCCCGAGCTGGAACAGTGCATGCTCCGCTGGCTCTTCTTCCATTTGGTTCAGACATGCTACCACCCAGTTTTCTGCAAACAGCTTTAAAAAGAAAAAAAATCTAAGGAAGTTGGTTTGGTCTACTGACCTGGGAGCCTGGAAAACTTACTTCTAGTTCACTTCTGAAGAAAACCTCCACGAAGCGTTCTATTTTCAGCGATTTATTCAACTCTTCAGTTTCCAGGACAGACGGCCATCCGGTCATTCTGTTTTCACTCTGAAGAGCTCACTACCATACAGTTCCAGCTGTGCTGAACCTTCAAATGCACTTGCTGAGATATCCTCTAGAACTACCCAGGACGACATCTATACCCTTTGCAAGCAGGTGACAAGCTGAGGGTCACTAACTCTGGGACAGGGCTGTACAAAGTAAAGTGTAGATTTTGTCTGGAAGCTGAAGATGTCAAGTTGACACCAAGCAGTGATGATGAACTCCTGGTGACCTTCTGGCCCAAATGGGCAAAGGAAGTCCACGTTGCAGAGAGCGGGCAGCAGCCGAGGCCAGGTGTGGACTTGTGGTGGGAAGATGTGTCCTGTTTCCAGACAGACCCACTGGCAGACATTTCTAACCCAGCACTGCCCTAGAAATAATCTACCCAATCGGTGACCCCCCCAGTCACCCAACCGTGCCTGAGTGGATCTGCTAGAGCACCAGCCCTGGAGCTGCAGGCCCCCCAGGGTGGAGTGCCCCCACCTCCCGAGGTGGACTGCCTAGGCCTGGGCTTAAACAACTTCTTGAGTCACCTTCCCCACAAGATGGAGTCAGGCACGGTGCAGGCAGGTGGGGACAAAAAAGGACAATCAGAGATGTGAAACCCAGCCCTCAAGAAACTCTTGGGACATGTGGCATCTTTGGTCTTCTCTGGTCCCTGCAGTCATTCCTCACTTGGCAGATCATTATGTCCCACAACTCATCAGCGTCCTTTGGCAGGTGGTGCTGAGCACTGGTCTCACCCTAGACATGTCTGGCTGATGGCCAGTCACATATCGCATCTGCTTTTTGGTTTCTAGGTTTCTGAGGAGCCTGCGCTTGACTGATACCTTCTGTACCACCATGCCAGCCCCTCTTTGCCTTTTATGTCACTGCAGATATTAACTGTAGAGGTCAGTCCTCTAAGCAGCCTGAATTTCCACTCCCCACCTGGTAGCTGAGGTGCTGTCAGCAGAGGCTGGAAACCACACAAGGAACCTGGATTCGCTCCTGCCCCTCTAGCCGCTGCCCACCCTACCCCACTGGTGCTCCTCCTCCTGACCAGAGACTTGGATAATTTCAGAAAGGGATTCTTGAAATGTGAATAGGAGGTCCTGGGCAGAGGCCCTCGTGACTTCTGTGTGAAACCGACCAGAATTAACACAGCAAAAGGTCTGCAAACTGAGCTTCAGTGTGGAATACTGCGCAGGTTTGCAGATCAGCCTCTGGGCAGCACGTGGAAAAGCATTACAAAGATTCAGAAAACGAAACTGTCACAGGAACCACAGCCCACAAAAGTAGGCCAGGTTCTGCACACCAAACCTAAGCCTTAGCCATAGAAATGGGCATTGAGCCCTAATAAATATTATTTTGTTGGTTTTGGCTCCTTATTCCAACCAGTAAAAGCATGAGCTACCCTGGCTTGTTTTATGGCCACTGGAGATTTTAAAAACCTGCTTAAGGCCGGACACAGTGGTTCATGCCTGTAATCCTGGCACTTTGGGAGGCTGAGGTGGGCAGATCACCTGAGGTCGGGAGTTTGAGACCAGCCTGACCAACATGGAGAAACCCCATCTCTACTAAAAATACAAAATTAGCTGGGCGTGGTGGCGGGTGCCTGTAATCCCAGCTACTCGGGAGGCTGAGGCAGGAGACTCGCTTGAACCTGGGAGGCAGAGGTTGAAGTGAGCTGAGATCGTGCCATTACACTCCAGCCTGGGCAACAAGAGAGAAACTCCATCTCAAAACAAACAAACAAAACAACGAAAACAAAACCTGCTTACAGTGTTAATCCAACAAATCCATGAAAAACCAGTAAGCTGGCGTAGAGGCTCTGTGACCTCCTTGTGAGACAGCTGTGTCTCATGCAAATGTGGCCCTGTCCGGGGTACGGACTCCATCCCCCTTAGTTAGGGTTCCCCACTAAGGACTGAGGCTTAAGGAGGCAGATGGGGGTGGGGGATACCCATGTATTAGGCTGACTGGAAAACTGTGGGGCTTACGTGTTCCACAGCAAAGGAACATGATTCCCTGCTGTTCTTTCCCTGGCCACACCTTACTTTAGGCAATGGAAATCTAGGCATTTTAAAGGTGTCGTGCACTAGGTTTCTTTGTAGACTGAAAATGTTTGGTTAGAGTGAATTAGGGACTTGAAATTCTCAAATTTTGCCTTTTTTTTTTTTCTTTCTAAGACGGAGTCTTGCTGTATTGCCCAGGTTGGAGTACGGTGGCAGAATCTCGGCTCATCGCAACCTCTGGCTTGTGGGTTCAAGTGCTTCTGTCTCAGCCTCCTGAGTAGCTAGGATTATAGTTGAGTGCCACCACACCCGGCTAATTTTTGTATTTTTTTTAGTAGAGACAGGGTTTCACCCTGTTGGCCAGGCTGGTCTTGAACTCCTGACCTCAAGTGATCTGCCTGCCTCGGTCTCCGAAAGTGCTGGGATTACAGGAGTGAGCCACTGAGCCCGGCCAGCACTTGAAATTCTAAAGTAAGATGTACCTGTAGGCAATGACAAGGCTACCTGTGTGGATCCCTTTTCCTTTATGGTACTGACAGCTTTTATTTTAGACTCTGGTCAGTGCACAGAAGGTGGAGATTCAAACTTGTGCTTCAAAGGCCAGCTGGAGCAGGGCCAATCAGACTTACTCCAACTGATTTCTGGGTGTGAGAGGATGCTAGAAGCTCAAAGATGGAGAGCCGGAGCAGTCGGGGTCCTCAGACTTCCATCAAAACCAAAAGGACAAGCCGGGTGTGGTGGCTCACGCTTGTAATCCCTGCACTTTGGGAGGCCAAGGCAGGTGGATCACTTGAAGTCAGGAGTTCAAGATCAGCCTGGCCAATATGGTGAAACCCTGTCTCTACTAAAAATACAAAAATTAGCTGGGCATGGTGGGTGGTGGGCGCCTGTAATCCCAGCTACTCAGGAGGCTGAAGCAGGAGAATTGCTTGAATCTGGAAGGCAGAGGTTGCAGTGAGCCAAGTTCGTGCCACTGCACTCCAGCCTGGCTGACAGAGCGAGACTTTGTGTTAAAAAACAACAACAATAACAACAAAAAACAAAACCCAAAAAGACAGGGAAGAATGTGGGAGGCAGTTCCTAACATTCTGAAAGGGATATAGGTGATGTCCCGTTTGAAAATGGGAAGCTAGGAAGAAAAATTGATCAACTTTTCCCAAAATGGTTCTCACATCTCATAAAACCTTTCTGATGAGCTCAAGGAGAGAAGCTATCAGATAACACAAGAGAAGGAAACAGAAGTTGTGTGCCTGATGATAAATCAACATAGTAGATATAATGACCTGTAACTATGAGGTCCGAAGAATTCTTTGAGGTCCAGGAGGGCTTTTCAGACAAGACCAGGCCTTGACAGTGGGGGCAAGTCCTACCAACCTGCCACAGCACGTCCAGCAGGACAACTGTGGCTCAGCAGGTGCCAAATAGAGCCCATGGGCAGAAGATGCCCACAGCGTTCCAGATGTGTGTGGTCTGAGAGATAAAAGGACACAGAACAAGACGACTGTGCAAATAGCCAAGTGGTGGCAGAAGTTCTGCATTTCCAAGAGATGATCCACTCAATAATTTGACGATACTAGTTTGGCCAACATGCTCAGAGAGAACAGACTATCCACAACTGAGTCTCATTCTCTCTCAGACCAATCCATGTGCTGGAAACTATTTTCTGCACAAGCAAAATCAAATGAGAAAAAAAATGGGTCCCAAACTAAAGTAGCCAGCAAGGTTGGAAAATCTTGTCCAAAATCATCTGTGATGTGGGGGAAGTTTTATTTGTTTATGTTTTTGCTACTACGGGTGCTTTTATTGCAACAGTGACTTCTTTCCTGTGGACTCTGAGATCTTAACAAGTCTGAACAGCAAGGTTGAGAAGAGAGTCCTGAGTGCCGCCTGTTGCTTACCCAAGTCCCCGTGAGGCCAATCAGTGTCATCTGCTGAGGGTGGAGATGGGGCCGAAAGAGCTGTTCAGGGGTGAGGCAGGCTGCTCCCTGTCCGAGGGGCCTCCTCCACAGCCTGCTGCCTGCTGCCTCCAGCCTGGCTGAGCACATTGGACAGTCTGCTGACTCAAGGAGACGGGGAGGGGAGCTGGTGGTCTACACTGAAAAGGGGCTGGCTAAGTCAGCTTCAGTGGGGAGGAACAAACCAGGAAAGCCATGGAGGAGGCAGGTTGGGCCGGCCGCCCACGTGCAGAGAATGGCACACTGGCTCCGCAGACAGCAAGTGTCCAGAGAGGCTGTGGGGCGCTATTATTCAGGCTTGGACTCTTCCTGCCTCCAATTCATTTCTTGTTAATGACCCAGCAGAGCTACATGCACGGGTTCCAACAGCCAGTCCCACAGCCCAAGCACTCTGTGGTGCTGAGCAGCCATCAGGGTAAGTAGAGTCCGGGGCTCAGAGTCCGTTGGTGTCGATAGCTGTCACCGAAGCAGGTGTGGAGGAACGCGATGTGGTTGCCGAGGTCTTGTCGAGGGCTGGGCTGGGCACGCTGCAGTCGGCAGACCTGGCCGAGGAGCCCCTGCCTACAGGAAGCAGCGGCCGACCCTGGCTGTGGGGACTCTGGCCATGCAGGTTCTGACCACAGAGGCGGTGGTGCCGCTCCCAGTCCTTGTGCTGGCAGAAAGAGCCGCAGTATCGCGCGATATTGCAGCCACTGCATGTCTCGCTGGCTTTGCGGCCACAGTTCCAGCAGTTCTGCAAGACACAGGCATCAGTTAGTGGTTGCTGGGATCGAGGGGCAGGCTTGCCATTCATTCCCTGCACATTAAAGCAAGGGGCTGCATGTAGAGAACCCCAGCTATGGAGCTACATACACCTGTGGTCAAGTCCTCCCTCTACTGCTGTTTAACTATGAGAAATACACACTGCCTTTCTGAGTTTCCT